GAATAATAAAAGGGACAGAAGGACTTACCGGAAAACCTTAGTGCCCTAAGCAAACATTCAGGGTCAAGACGCCTACATCTTGTGTAGACAATATACCGTCACAAACAGCTGGCTATCATGCAAAGATAAGGTGATATCGGCGACACAGCTTCCTTGCGGCTTTCACTGCCACACGTCATAGCTATTACCTTACAGCTAACCTAGGACCAAACGCATGTTAAACAAGCAATCCGACTAGGAGATGGCGGCAGACGCACCACTGGTACCGGCTGCGAGCTGTGTCCTTTAAACTCTCGAGCCAAACACATTGCATATCAAGTGGACTCTAGCCTGAAGGAGAGACGGGTGGATGGCACCAAATTTGGTCGTAAGTAACTTCATTTCCTGCTGCTAAGTCAACTTTTGTCCACTTTGAGCCTTGCGCCACCCTACATCTGGCAGACAATACAGGGCCCTTCTAGGTAATTGGTAATCGGGCATACTTAGTACCTGCCCAAGCCAATGCAACTTACTCAGTGCTACCGGTTGTTCCAAGGAACTAGCTTGGTTATCACTGCCTAGTACTCGCCTACGCACATCATCGTTGCGGACACGTTGGTGTTACCCGACACCAGCCCAGCTCCTCCGACAGTGTTGATCAAAGACTTGAATGCGCCTCAGATCTTTAGATCGCAGTGGCGAAGTCTCACTCATATACCTTAGGATAGCCCTTATTGTTACCTTGTATTTTCGGCCTTCCAAATGAAGGGAAATCCCTTTTTGTCGCCAGTGATGTTGCAGATTTAAAAAGACAGTTCTAGCTTTTGCAATACGTGAACGGACCTCAGTGTCTATGCCCCCATCCTTGCTGATACAGTTGCCAAGGTAAGTGAGCTGATCAACTACCTCGAGTTCCTCGCTCTCTAAGGTCAAAGGATCATCACGTGGCCGGTGGTCTTGCATCAACACTATGCACTTTGAAGGTGCAAGCGCATACCAAGTAATGGGACCACATAGGTTATTCAGGATTGATTGCGCCGCCACAACATCGTTAAACAGCAAGACGATATCATCCGCCTAATCTTTAATCAAGATCAACTAGTCTTTTACCAGGCAGCACCTAAACGCCTGCATCATGAGAATCCACAAAAGAACACTCCATAATGCAGTCCACGATCTAATTGAATAAGAATGAGCAAATTGGACAACCCTGTCGGACGCCACTTGTTCTCGAAAGCTATCCGACAGGTCACCGTTGACCCTGACGCGGCCTGTAGTGTTCGAGTACAGAGCACGTAAAGTGTTCACGTATTACATGGGAACACCTTTCAGCGCAAGTATTTCGGACAGAATCGATCGAGCGACTGAATCAAACGCACTCTTAAAATCGAGAAACACAGCTATTGTCAGGCTGCGGTATGCGTGGCGCTGCTCTAATACCTGCCGCAAAGTGTATGTCTGGTCTATACAGCCACGCCATGGGCGGAAACCTGTCTGCTCCTTCCTAATCCGGAATTCCCGTTCCGCAGTGAAGCGACGAACGAGGATTAAGGGCAGTAATTTTGTCACAACTGGCGTAAGGCAAATACCCCTGTAGTTTGCACAATCTGTGCGACTGCTCTCTTTGTATATTGCCATTATGATCGAATCACTCCAGTTATCCGGGACGGTTTCCTCCTTCCATACATGTTCGAACATTGAGGTCATTACTTTGCAGAGGACCTCACCTCCGTCCTTATATAGTGCAGGTGGGAGTCTGGGCCAGCGGCACGAAAACGATTGAGCGCAGTGATCGCGTTTCGGACCTCGGCCTCGGACGAAGGCTATAAGCTAACCGTCCATGGGTCGTCCTGCATCACCTGAGTAGCAAGAGGTCCCGGAGCAAGGAGCGAGCTGAACTGATCTTGAAAGTGTTCCGCCCAACGAGCCATACGGCGCTCCTTATTGTGCATCAGGGCACCCGCGCTGTCTGATTGTCTCACTGACGCCTGGTTTCCTGGGACTGTTGGTGCGGTTCAGCTGGAAGAGCTTGCGATAATTGCCTACTGCTCCTGCCTCCTCCATTTCTTGAGCTCCACTGGTCCACTAGGCTTCTTTGTTAGCACGTAGGCTCCGCTTCATTTCGCGCGTAATAACCCGTCTGGTCACATTGTGACCAGAGTCAGCCTGGAGGTTTCTTCTGGTTTCCGACAGGTTCACCGGCCTATCGGATATCCAGTGACTGGTGCGGTGACGATTGATAGTGCCACAAGCAGATGCTCCTGCGTCGTGCATAGCGGCCGAGATCTTATTCCACTGAAGCTCAGTGCCATTAGAACAAGACAGCTAAAGTTCGGTGCTCAGTGCGTTTTGATAGGCTTGCCTGACCGAGGGCTGAGATAACTTCTCAGTTGTCAATCGGGGGAGACAATTAGTGGGCCTCCCAGTAAATTTCAGTGAAAAGCGACAGTGTACCAAAGCATGATCAGAGTTTATGCAGGTACTACAGTATGAGCGATAATCCAGGATGGAACCACAGCACCTGTAAGTCATGGAAATTTGATATATTTGGGTCCATCGCTGGCCAGCTACAGGAGGAGGCCAGTTGGCACTTTGGCACCTAGTGTATGTGAAAACAGTGTTACTAACAAACAGCGGGTGCTCCACATACAGTTGCAAATAGGCTCGTAGTTGTCCTTACGATTTGAGTTAAGCCCATAATTACCCCCAGCTGAGCTTATGAAGAGCCCAGGCGACCTACTTGTACATTCATATCTCCTGCAAGTAATATAGTATCTGAACTAGTAGCACTTCGTAGTAGCGTTTTCAGTTCGTGTTACGATGTGTCCTTGGCAGTATCAGAACTGCAGTCGGTGGAAGCATAAGCGGAAATCACAAACAGCGTCTTATACTACTTCGTGAATCAACATCCATCGATGTCGTCAAACGGGATGCACGCAAACGGCTGTTCACCGGAATCCAATCAACCAACAATAACTTTGCGTTGTAGCTGAGTATGATACCTACCCCAGCTTGATCAGAGGCTACCTCAGCAGTGCCTCCGGATGCGTGCAACCAATAGCGAGAGGACAAGCCGGGTGCAGTTACTTTAACAACTCCAAGAGAGTTATTTATCTTGATTTCGTACAAGCAACACACGTCGATACTCAGCATGTCCAAGGTGCGTACGCGTGCAGCCTGTTGACCAATTTGTCGTAAAGTGCGAACGTTGAACGTGGCCATGGAAACGGGACAGCGTGGCCTTTTAAAGGACTGTTGTCGGTAGGCGGGAAGGTAGCTGCAGATGTTTCGACTTCAATGGCATTACGTCTGATGTCAATTAGGCTGGGAACTATAGAAGGAATGCTAGTAATGCGGATTGGGAGAGGAGTAACAGAGATAGGTGGAAAAGAATGATGGGGACGCCAACAGTAGCATGTTTTCGCCTATCTGCCTTGCTGCATGCAACAGATAAGGCGACCCGTGATAATCTGCGTGCCAGCCGATGCATGATGAAATTAACCTTTGAGGAAATAGTCATGGTTGTATGTGGGCTGAGATACTGTCATGGCGTTCAGACCTAGACAGGCGGACGAGTAGGGTCCGCAACCAAACCCTTTGGCTCATAAACCTGTGCTCAAGGCAGCAAGGTGGCAATGATTTAGTTTTACAGAATTAAACGCCACCCCATTTCAAACCCTCAACCTAGAGGACCAGGTGACTGAGTTTGTCTGACCTCTAAAAATTGACCAATCTGACAGGAGTAACTCTCAAGGCATCCGGGGACACCCCCCAGTATGGGTCTACGAGATGCGCAGACTGTCGCACCACTTTAAGGTCCAGTCTCGTTGCGACAGTTAGGGGTGATAATACTCTTTTCTGCTTGGAAGTAACTAAATCCTCATTTCGATATCGCTGGAAATTTCAGACCAACGTTTCGGCTTGCTATAGGGCTACCATCCAAGTATTTGAGGCGAACGTTATCCTCTCCAGTCGAAGTATGTGAGCAGGGGAAGTAGCTTTCTTAGAACTGATTCTGCGTTGGAGTTTGTAGTGGACCGTTAGGCGAACAGTTCGTGTCCTGAGGCAAAATACAACCGTAGGCGAAAACTCACCACCTCGGCTACCTTTTGTGAACAGCTGAATGATAATTCAAATATGTATATCCGACCGTTGGATAGGTCAAGGTTCCAACGGACACAAAAACAGCACCAGACAGAATCAGCACGACACGAACGCGTTCGAAAGTGTGTATTCAACATTCATTACATTAAACAGGTAATATCTTGGGTAATAGAAGTGATGAAAGATATACCTTGGAACATTCCCAGCCGTAACAAGGTGTTGTTAAAATAACCTGCCGGTGGAGCGACAAAATCAAAACAAGCGTTTGAACCTGATATGCCCTGAAATTTAGATGAGTGCTGGTTGCATAAGGTGTTGGTCGCCTCCCTCATTACATGTGCACATGTCAGGCACAGGTCTGTGGAACTGCTACGCTTGTGAGTACGTTCATTCCATTTCACCTAGATACTCGTGTCCGGCTTCAAGTAACCTTCGGTACCTGGTGTACGCTTCTAATCGTAGGACACTAAAGGTATTAATAAATTCCTGTTGACATTCATTAAATCGTACACTTGTGCTCCGACATTAAGTGCGAGCGCGAAACGAACAAATTCGACTCAGTAGTGCTACATACCTATCGGTCTTGTGTTTACATTGAAAATAACTAAAGTGGTAATCCTTCACTGAGTTGAATGTTGCTGGTTGAAACTATGTTTCGTCTCATTGGCAATTCACACAAAAATAATATGCAGCGCTTTCACACTGCGCTCTTTTCACCTTTGTCACACCTTCCCTGACTGTCTGATAGTTGGTAACAAGGTTACCAACGCTGTGATTACGTGGTAGCAACAGCAGAATGGTAAGCATCACATTTCGACATTCGTGCTATAATTTGGACTGCGTCTACTACATTTTCTTTGATGTTCCAATGAAACAGTGTTGTCACATTCGTGAAAACTTGCTTGACTCTTTTACAGCTATTATAATGGAAAATTTTTCGCTGTTCTATTCCAACGATGAAGACGCTATAATGAGCTACAATGATATCAGGAATTTTCAGCTCGCTTGGAACGTAATTGATGTGAACAGGAAGGTTAGTTGCCTTTAATGATATAGAGGAAATAGCTGTTTTAGCCTAACTCAGTGTACTTCGGCGCGCAAAGCATTATTGATCAACTGACCTAGACGCACTTTGCTAACCTTCAAAATAACTCGCTCATTCTATCGACTCTTGGTATTGCTGAAATCTATAGTTAATAATGGGACAAACGCCTATGTTCAGCCTCCAGTCATACGTTGCAGCAGCAGCTACAGCATCGGCAAGGTTCTCCTATCTGATGACGTCAATTAAGAGAGATGTTAGTGATAATGAGTCAGATTTGGAAGTGGATCTTTTGTGAAACTTTAACGCCTCAGTCTTTGTCTTTAATTAGGGCGCACAAAGAACGAGCATGCCCACATTTTACAAAAACCTGGGTTTAGTGACAGCACGGATTCGACAACTACTGATTCTCATCATTTTCATTTGCTGCCTTACATGGGTGGAATGATGGAATTGTCCAGTCAGAGTGAAGAGCTGCAACTAAGGAACACACGAAGCAGGTAATGGTAGGCGATCCTGACGGATTCGTTTGTTGATTGCAGCAGGCATAGTCGGTCATCAAAACGAGTCCGCTGGCTGCTTGAAGTTTGGGAACGCTACATTGAGTTCTTGCTTTTTTTGCAGTCAAAAAGAGCAACCTCCCAAAAAATGTTCTTGCTTATGGAAATACACGAGCAAAACAAATCGAGATGTTATGCAATTCCAATATGCTATCTTTTCCACTAGTCTTCCCTTACCGAACAAACCGTTTGTCGCTGAAAAAGAGGCTTTTGCTACACGTGAATCATTGCTAATATCTCCACATGAATTTCCTTAGTTCTAGCCGATAGAAATTGCGGTACCTGCATAAGCATGGTGGCTATGGCAGGTAACTATTTATTGCAATGTTTCATAGGAAACTGAGCCAGTGATGCCTTGCCGTAGCACAGTCGCGTACAACTAATGCAGATGTTTACACGCCATACTTATTTGGCATCATCTAAGGTATAAACAAAGGTAGATCCAGGCACAGAAACACAAGTATGAACATATAAGCGAAGGAAACCTTGATGCAACCTATCCACCTCGACCAGTGTACAGCGAAGCGACTTCGTAAGAATCGATCAAATTATGTAATTCAGTTACTCAACATTTCGTGCGGCTGGCTTACAAACGGTGGTTTTATGCTTGTCAAGAATCAAATAAATAAGTAATTGGTATGTTCCTCGAAGGTACCATCCACAATACAACTGGGTGGTATGACCAATTTGTACAACGAGATCGCATAAGACAGTTAATCCTTCACGTTCCATACAGTGGATCGCAAATAGGTTTTTGAACTGGTTGGCAGTTTGAATGTTTTATAGAGATTAATAAACTGTGAACAAAGTGCAAGTAAACTTATACGGCCATCTATGGGACCGTTCCCAAGGGCCTGCTTCAATGCATACTTCAATGAATTTCACCCGCACTTCTGTGCTCCAGCTGGCTGAGTGCCCGTGTGGCAAATTCGTAAGGCGACACCTGTATCACAAACGTATTTTATAAGAGCTGTTTTTATGCTCGCATTATGGGCGATAAAGCCTCAGCCCATTTCGTCATGCGGATCATTCAATTTTGGCACTTTTTTGTTATTCACCAGTGAGTCAATGGTAGTATGCCTTGCATGGGTACAATTTTTTTAGCTTGCAAGCTGTAATCCGTCACCTAGTTAAAACAGCCCACTCGTGGCCAGCAATGAACAATTGAAGAATCTAAAGTACGTGGAATTGAAAAACCATAATGATTACGTTATTTTGTAGATAGGCCCGTCATAAATTGATAGGTAATCTTGGCGAATAATGACGATGGTACAGAAATCTCGAGAGAAAGAATTGTTGCATTCTGGCCAGAGTTTTATAAAGAATAAAGAGCAGCAAAGATAACCTAAATGCAGTTTGTATTATCTCTGCAGTCTTGGGTGCTTTTTCGCCAAAGGCGACCAGTCGAAGCCATCAAAATTTGAAGGTTAGTTCATTAATTCCAGACAATCGATCGCAAAGAAAACATCCGTTGTCGATCACTCGGTGGAGACGCGAAAAAGAAATAAGTGACGTGCGGATGAGTATAGCAAGTTTACATTTTGCAGTCTTCGAGTGATAGTTGTAGTACGACGCAGAGATAGACTAATAACCTTCGACTGATGGCTCCAGTGCTTCAACTGTTTCCCGGTCCTTCCTCAAGATATTCATCGTTGATTTACAAATTTCCGTAGCTTTCAGAAAAAACTTACTAATTTTTTGAATACGCTTTAGCTTTTTGTACATCGTATGCAACTAGGTAGCCTATTCCATATCAGGCTTAACCTTTAAAGATAAAATCTCTCTGACTGCGTTCCAGAATGGACGTACTACAACCATACTTTCTGTGTCGTGTATTTCATATCTGGTTTACAACCGAAATTGTATAATGTGGAGTTCACTATGCACTTTATGCCGCACAAGTTTATGTAGGTAACTAAGATTTAAATGCAATCTACGCAGCTATATAGGGCCAACTTTTAATTCATTGCATCTTTTTAAGGATTAAGTGTGCAGTAGCCAAAGATGCGTTTTGTGCGGGTGTATTGAACATTTTCTACGTCGTTTAACTCACATTTACTTAGAGTACTGCATACAACGCGACAGTATGCTAAAAATGGCCTTATATTGATTTTTTATGCCATAAGCCTTGCCTCTTTCAACCTTAGTAACGGACTGATATGCCCCGGTACTTGCATTACTTCAGTCACAACATAGTTCCCATGTTCGCTGAAATTTAGGGAGCTGGAATATCTTAGTCCTAAATCTCTGACAGAAGAGTAAGCTGGAATGGGGTCACCATGATGTAGAAACAATCCTGCTTCTATATGGCATCTATAAGTCAGTATATTGCATTTTGATGTTGAGAAGTGCATCTGCTACCTTGCAGCCCAGATCTCTATGGTCTGCAGATCACATTTAATGCTTACTACCTTAGTTATGTATTGGGATGAGTGGAAAGAAAACGATACATTCAGATCGTCTGCAAAGAAGTATGAGTTTCCGAAGTGCATGCCAGTTATAAGATAGTTTATGTATATAAAGAAGGACCTAAAGCGTTGCCTTGAACTACTCCACTAGTAACTCGTTGGGGGTTTAGATATAAACCCATTAATGTTCACTGTCTGGGACCCTCCTATCAGATAGGACTTAAACTAAGACATAAGCGGATTTGATAAACTAAACGTACTCAGGTTTAATAGTAGTCTTTTGTACAATGAACAATGATTTGGCACGGGTACAAGCAAATGCTTGCCACGTCCCATAGTATGGTTGGGGTGAATACCGTGAAATCGAAATATATATGAGTCATCTACCGGGCGTCTACCGTGATAACTGCGTTGATCCATAATGTAAGTGTAAAATAAGAATCGAGTGTAAGCATGCAGAAATACACGGAGTGTAGTGATCAGTGAGGTAAAGCGTAGGTAAGTAATATCTGGTAGCGCACTAATGCTAAATCTTTGACCACTTCTCCAATAGAACTTGCGCCATTCCCTCGGAAGGTAACCCCACTTTCATTAATCTTGGACCGCAGCCCTTGTCGTTAGGTGATGCATTAGTATTTATCAACGACCTAGCAATAACATTCTCCAGAGGGAGTGCTGCGCGGATGTAGCACCACTACTCTCAATTATGTGTTTGCGCCTCGTGATCAGGAGAATCCGGAAACTCGGGAACACCGTGAACAAATATGGTTTTGTTGCCGTTGCTGTGAGAAAGGCCGCCTTGGTTACCCGCTCCCTTTGGACGAGCTTTCAAAGAAAGCTCGCGCAATATGCGCACCCCGCTCGGTGGGTTGCGAAGCCGAACTGCTGAGGATAGGACATCCTCTGCCTCAGCTGCTGAGTTCAGAGTTACTTGAAGAATTTGCGATTCACCATAGTGCACTGAGGTCGAGTTACGCGCTACGCGTCCTAACACGGTGGGCCCAACCCGAATATCAATTGCATTGAGATGAAGTTCCACTGTTTCCGATTGTTTAACAACTTTCCTTTTGTTGTACCCAATTTGGACTCTGAAATATTAGGTCACACGAGCGTTAACACACTTTATTTCAATTTAGCGAATGTCGAGTTGTTGCTGGGATCTTTGGCTGTTAAGGAGGCGCTACTGAAATTGATGTATAAGATGCTTTACGCCACGTTTGCTGGGTACAGAAGATGGACCAACGTTTATCGCTCTCGGTGTGTTTATCAAGTCCACCGATACTTATGTTAGCCACTTGCTTTCTGCACCGGATTGCCTCCGGCTCTAAACTGTTGGTTCCATTGCTAAATCTTTAGGTGAAGCCCCCATGCATGGGGTAATAGCCGTCATCTCGAATGCGACTTGCTTGATTAAGGGGTTAGGATGCGTCAGAGTAAGTGGTGCAGCTACCGTGAGATATTTTTACGACCGACTTTACTCCTTTGCCTAGGGGCGGGCTCAGCCGGGGTTACTGGGGCACAATATCGATGTTCTTGAATTTCAATGGCAACGCACTGAGACTCGCTATCTGTTTAATTGTTTCGCCTAATTTTTCGCACTTTTTCTTAGGTACAACCACACAATTGACAATTGGAATACCTGGCAAAACCAAGACGCATCGGTCGCATTTTTGAACATCTTTAACAATACCTGACTTTTGCCTCCACGCTTAGCGTGGAAGGGGAAACCGCAGTTTGTGCAGATCAGACCAGACCAAGCAGGTGCATTCGGTTCTCCGCATTTGCCGCCAAGTGGGACCATTTTTAATGGCGGGCTGAATCCAAACGCGGATTCCTCATCGCTGTCCGTCAAGTTGGTGTCGGGGTTGCACACGTTTTATTACTGTTCTTCGGACGTAAACACATCGAGTCACATCCGCGCATTAAAGCCAAGGTCACACGGTGACGATGGGCGATGTCTCAAGGCCTCCGCTGTCATGTCGGCAGATCACAAATGTGTCTGTGTTGCTACCCGACTGTGATGTGGTTAGCAAACCTATGTGGCTTGGTCTTTTGATCGCAAAGCGGAGTTGCCCAGATGCTGAGTGAGGTTTGTTGCGAGACGTACGAAAATTACACTGCAGCTTATCCACAGGCTGTTGGACTGGAACAAGTAAGAACTTACTCGATCCCTGCTGAACAGCTCTATCGAGTGAGGCCAAACTGGGTTGGAATGGTACAGATTTTGAACGTGGGTATAGATGGAATACTGCCCGGAGTTTACGAATCCAGGTTACCATTATATATATATATATATATATATATATATATATATATATATATATATATATATATATAGCTCACAATCTGTGTACAGATATAGTGCCATCGAGACCATGGCGGAATAGGAAAACGGAGTTAACGTAAAGAAGAAATAAAACGAACTATTTCTGTCCATTTTTTCACTCACCGTTTTAGAGATTTTTTGATGTTTTTATTTGGAAGGGAAGGGGAATCCGCAACAAACAGAAGTACACGCCCGCCGCTGAGTTCGCTTTCGAGCCATGACTTTCAAGGTTTCCAACCAACTGCACTCAGCATCCTTGAAACCTCATCCAGGGGGTCGAGAGGTACCAACCGTGTCCAGCTGTTTTGCCAGCTTTTTCTTCCTGCTACTTCAAGTTGCAGGCTGTCCACCACACTACCTCCTCCAGACCTGTCCAGCGACTGCGAACAAGGCACGACGCGGAAGATGCTGAACAGCCATACGCAGTACGTGTCCGAGCCATCATAGTTGGCGCAACGAGACACGCGCCTCGAGGGAGTGGCTGTCTTCCCCCAAGACACGCTGTCTGACTTCAGCGTTGGTTACGTGGTTCAGCCACCACACACGGGCGATGGACCGCAAATAACGGTTCTCGAAGACAGACAGTCGAGGTAGGTCATCGGTACGAGCAGGCTAATTCTTGCAACTGTACAACAACACAGCGCGGATAGTGGTACTGCAAACTCCCTCCTTTGATGACGAGGCGGATGTCATGGCGGCGCCATAAAGGCCTCAGCCTGAAGGCTGAACTTGCTCTTGCTGTACGCGTCGAGATCTCGTTTCCAACAGCCCTACCATCAGTTATGAAACTTCCCAGGTAGTGTATTTGAGAAACTTCTATTTCGACATAGAGCTTGTAAGAACAAGACGAACAGGTATAGATCCAGTGGTGTGCAGCAATTTTACTGAGAAAGTGTTGTCGCCACTGAGGTTTTCACACCACACCTGCAAGAAGAAGTCCAAAGACGAGCCGGAAAGAGACTTGTATACATAAAACCACCTTTGCTATAGAGGCAAAATTTTGAAGACAAAATGAAGGTAAGTTACTAAATTACATCTGAGCCAACCAACAAAAAGAAAACGTGAAATACAACGGGCGAATAAGCAACCGTGTAATCATGGGCGAATCGCATATGACCTTAACATTAGTATCATAGGACCCCAAGCGTAAAGCAACATCCATTTGCAGTGACGGGCACTGGCCAATCAGAATAACGAAATGCAGCGTTCAAACAAATGTCACGAAAAAAACGAGAATAAGAAATGCAGATCCAAATTTAAAACTAGTACATAATTGTGTGTCAACTAACTATTTATTTAACATAGCCAAGTAGAAAAGTGGTGCGGAGAAAAAGCTAATGGAATGTGTTCTTGAAACTGGCACTGTTAAAGATGACACGGAGATAAGCGTCTATTAACAATGGCTTGGGTATACCAATCGGGCTAATATAATGGAGCGTTTAAACCACAGTCAATCAATAGAGAATAGAAATAATAAAGAACTGCTAATAAGCTCGTTCACAAAATATAAATGTCAACTAGCTATTATCCTAACAGAAAGGACGAAAATTTCCATGGCGCACAAGTGCGCGATTAACATGCTTCTCCAGCGTCGGATGATTCGGTTCAGCAACTTCGTATTATTATCATATTCCCAGTACACCATCTCTGTCCACGTGATCCGGTCTGCTCGGGGGTAATAATGCAACGTTTTCCCAGATGACCCGCCAGCGAATCAGCACTGATGGATTACACGATATTGGAAAGCACTTGAGGAAGGTATGCTGCATGATTGTTCAAAAGCTGAGCCTCCATTCCTCCTTTGTGAATTGGAGTGGTTATCCCCATTCTCCACATGATAGGAATCTGTTTCTGCTCTAGATATCACTGAAAAGGCTGAGCTGAAGTTTCCCCCAGTTCTCTTGTGGCAGCTCCCAGTGTCAAAGAGTACCCGCTCCAAGTGACCTTTGTTCCACAGAAGCATTATCTTCTATGCCACAGCTTCAGCGGTAGCATAGATGTGGCTGTGTCTTAATGATAGAACAACAAAAACAGTAGGGTCACCTAATAGTAGGACCCACTGTATTGTAGGGGCATATTAAGTCATTAGTGCGCATGCGATTACTGCGGTTGTTCATGTTGGGTCACCATCTGTCCGGTCCGGAGGAAATCCCTCTTTCACTGTTCGGAGGGCATTGCTGTGTTTATACAGTAGTTCCAGGTTAGCACTGAATCTTTTTGCCAAATTCTGCTGTTCCTCCACGTTGGCTTCTCTGAGCAGCTGAGTGCAATCGTTACGCTGGGTTACGTACGTGTCTCAAGTACCGGCGTCGAAGTGAATGTATATCCTTTCAATGCTGCATCGCTTGTTATCCACAATTTTCGTGTTATACTTTTACGAAAGAGACCGTTTTTTGGTCCATTGCAAACCCTTATTTCTGAAACCTCTTTTATCAGTATAATGAATCTTTCGACGAAATTTATATGGGCGACCTTCGGGGGCGGTTGCTACCATGATTGGAAGATAATATGCTTACGACCACCAATGTAAATGGTTACTTCTGATGCAGCCTTATCTGTAATATAACAGTTTTTCTACGTGCTTTAAATAGGACAACCAGCGGGGATAGCTTTCCTGTTAGCTTTCATCTTTCTCATGAATACCCGTCTGAACACAGTTCGTTTCTTCCATTAGGTGTTGCGAAGGATTCAACACGCAACTCGTTTTATTTCGTCGAATGAAGTTAACCTACCAAGACGTGCCTCGCTTATTGCTTTCTATTACTGATCAGATTATTTAACTTTTATGTAGCGATAGTTTTCCAGTGACACTCCAGCCACCAGCTAAATAGTTTCCTTTTTTACGATTGATAATCACCTTTCTTGTTAAAGCAAGTCAAACTTTACCCTCTGAATCGTTCACGGGACATATTTGTTGCCACCGTTTTCAGATTCATACCGCTGTCACGTACCACTGGTCTGACGTTATTGGTGAATGCTGTTTCTTATTCTGTAATCCAATTGAACATGTCCAAAGACTTAACCTTGTCATGTTTCCAATGAAGGAATGTGCCTACTTTATAAAAAAGAGGTTCCAATCAGATGTGCTGTTACACAAACCGTTCTACTCCATTTGCATATTCACAGGGAATGGTAAAAGCCTACTACGTCCGATTCCTTCTTCGCCTCATTCCTCGAGAACGAGTGGGTTTCGATTTGTCCAGAAAAAAGGATCAGCAGCTTTTTAAGGAGATGTGTCACGAGGTTGAAATGCTGCGCGGAGGTCGTGATAAGGAAGTCAGTTTCCATGACGTCCTAATGTGAGTCAGAGGCACATTTATCTTCATGTTGAGTGCCATCTCTGTACTACCACATTACTAGCGAATTCAATGCAACCACCAATAAGATTCAGTTGTAACGAATCCCGTTTATAGTTGCCGTTAGGGCTGTCTTGTGCGTACATCTTGATAAACTCATCATCAAGTCCCTGCCTCGCATGCTTTGACACATGCAACTTTCTCATATGCGTTAATTATTTACTCATTACGCCTCAGGATCTACTTTTCCTTACACACATCGATGTCTGCATCATGTCATGTTATTCAATGATTTTTTAATTTGTTTTGTGCAGTGGGTCGCATACTTAGCTATGACACATTAGGAAGGTAAATCTATGTTAGTTCATTGTTATAAAATTCCAGGTAGTTACAATTAGTCCCACTTTCAGGAAAGTTGTTTAAGTGTAGTTGTACTTACGTTTTTGCGGCCGACTCATTTAGTCACTTGGAACTGTCAGCTATTGACAAGGGCTAGACTAGGTTGTTGTTTCCGTGGTCCTACACAACCTAAATGGTGGTTGCTGTGGCCAACCGTGTGGTTTGCTGTTTCCTTCCAGTCCAACAGCTTAGGCGCCTTCAGAAGGATAGCGTATCACAGTTGGTGCTTTGGTGATTGTTCTTCTGATTAATGACAACAGTTGTACCACCATGAATCCGCCTTTTCAACGTATCGGTTATGACTATGACTATACCTAGGGTACTTCAGGTTGGTTTTGTTTCTCAGGCATCATTTGCAGCCTAGTGACCATTCGCCTGCGTTGGGTTTTACGCCCAGCCATTGCAAACATGCATGGCGAAATGCAAACCAAATTATACTGGAACCTGCAGACACTGAAGTTTCATCGTCATTTGGAGGGCTGTAAGAAAGGGGATTACATGTTGTTGTGTGCTGGTTTTTTTCGGGTGGCTACACCATCAATACATCATACCGTTGTGTTTAGTTGACTTACACGAATGTTACAAGTCGAGGGTATTAAAAAATGAGAGGGATACTATAACTATGAACTACCAAATTCACCATTATTCAGTTGCGGCATTTGTTACACATATAGCAAATACAATGGCGCGCACACTCAGGTTTTACTTTTCTTCCAAAAGTCATTTTGAATTAGGATGCCCTTGGTATATCGTCATTGAACTCAACCCTACATCTGGGGGCTACCACAGAACAGCTTCCGAGCAAGCGATCAAGCTGTCAGATGTAGAACAGCACGGATTGACCCTTCTATCCACTCCAAATTGGCGATGTAGTGGTTGTACTCAAATGCTTTGAACTCGAGAGGCAAAAAGGTTTTTTCTTGGATAGAAGCAATGGTCCCAAAAACTCGTGGACTATCGCTTCTCTTGGAAAAGAGGCGTCAGGCTGTTATCCGCTTTTTTACACGATATACCTTTACAACTGTCTGTAGATAGATGTTACCTTTTCTTACCGTTCAACTGGTTAACTGAGGATCAAGTTGGCTAACCATTTCTTATGTCCCTGCGTATACACATCCGGAGTATAAAGGGACCAGCGTTGGCTTGAGTTGCACTCCCCCTAGGGGATTATGGTGGGAAGTATGCGACACATTGGACAAGCAACATATGTAAGTAGGCGAATGCTAGTGAAATTGACAAGAGTTCTTGGTATTGACTAGATGGTATCGGTGAAACGACATTAAAACACACGCCATGGCCAAGGATAAATAACGAAAGACTATAGTACATGAAGATAAATATATAACTATATATATACTATATAAAGAATGTACAGTTAAATCACTGAAGTATTTTACCAATCATTTCTTGCATGACTGAACTTTATCTGTCGAAAACATGATAAGCATGGAACTACTGATCTAGCACAGGCGCTTGTGTAGGCGTATATAGTTTAGTATCTCTCTGGTCGGGAAGCGCCCTGTGGAGGAGGTGGCTAACATCCGTGTGTATCTTATATGTACGCTTGCTACAGAAGTTGACATGGCTAGTTACAGTGCTGCTAACAAGATCTTGAAATTCCACCGGATCAAGATAGAACTTCTACTGACCTAGCAATTACTTTGTGGTCCTCACTCAGGGGATCAGGAAAGATCACAGGAAAGTAATAAGTCCAATAGAGTAACACACATGCAGTGATAATATGCTGGATCAACAACGAGATACGGGGAAAGCCTGAGACATATAGCCTAGAATGCGTCTCATTACCATAGTGAACATTTCGTTCACGTGAATGAACCACGTAAGTCCACTAGTCGGTCTCCTCCGAAGTATTTTACTGACCTGGGAGTGGTCAACTCTGTACCATCGATGGAAACTTGCGGGCACTGCGTTAGAATTTGCTAGTAGTGACTCCCTTTGAACAGCGAAAAGGACGTCCTAACACTTTGAGACGTCCAGCAGTAGGCAACGGGATTTGGACCAAGGTATTAGGTTGTCTACGGGGATTTGTAGCTTGGCCGATGACTGCATTCTTGCTTAATAGACGCCATGGTTTACGGTTTCGGAATACTTCCGCAAGATGGCTTCTTCATGACCTGGGATTTAGGTGACGTACGTGGGAAATAGGAATAGGGACAAAATAGTCCCCAGAAGAACACCAGATTTTGTGGTGAGTTTAGAAGCTTTTTCACTCAAAAACCTGCTAAACTGGCTTCACTTGATAAACTATTCTCTCACCAGTAGAACAGCCGTTGTTTGAACTCCAAAACCGGAGAGATTGCATAACAGCAGTTCCCGGTCCACCCAGCCAAAGACGTTACCAAAATCCAGGGAACAGATGCGCATTGAATTGTTTTGCTTATCCAGTGACAGAAGCCCAGTGTTTACCAGACATGCCGCCACATTTAAGGCGGAACTTAGCTTTGCAATGCAAACCAATGAGGGTCATCCAAATATTTATTGAATGAGATCTTTTAGATAATAGGCCTCCCAAAGGTCTTCAAAGCGACTAACGTGCAAACGATTGGTCAGTATTTGCTGCTTCCTTTCTTTAGCACCAACGTGATGCTTGCACTTCACCAACTATCGCCTCTCTTGAGTTGGTTGAAGCATATTGTGTACAAGTTGACGTGTGGGTGTGCCAGGTAACCTGCAACTGCTTGAGAATCACAGGAGGCAAAGTATCCGGACCAAGTGTTTTGTTTGGTTATAACTCGACTAATTCCCTGTGCACTTCTAGGCTGTTCACAGTAGGCGGGTTATCTGAGGTTAGTTTTAACTCAGCAGAGGAGATACCTGAGACTGGTTTATTTCTGGTCGCAAAATGTGTGGTTTATTCCTCCCACATCCGAAGTACAACTCCGCTTAACTGACTCAATATTTTCCATATTTCTCGAGAATTCTTTTTCCCAAGTATGGTCTGAACGTGGATCCGGATGAAGCGACGCAATTCAATTTTATATCAATCGATAGAGACTTTACTGGTGCTATGGATTTGCGTTTGAACGCTTTTTCTTTATGCCTACGCAGTTGTTGAGACGAGGACCTATCAGCACGGAAAAGTTGTTCCAATTGAACGGTAGGTGTCGAAACAAAGGTTTAAGTAACTAATTTACTGGCCACAATACTTCGATACTTCCGCGTCATAAACTGAAATCTGTGGAACTAACGGTTTCACGCAATCGTCAAATGCTCTGGGAAAGGTATTTTCTCTGCTTGAACTTTGGATATTTGTAACAGGTGTGATCTTTATGAATTATTTTGCTCTATATAACAGGAGGTAATACTATGCTGACATGATCAGAGCTCCCAAGTTGCGTTCGATTACAAAAAGAAAAGACTTTCAGCTTGTTAACAAATGCCATGTCAAGGACTGCATGTAACCTAGTTGGAAGTTGCACGATATTCTTTGGCACAAGATTCGTGATAGAGCTGGTATCAAGTCTATACTTCAGTAACTATGCATTAGGATTGTTTCAGTTATTTGAAGAGCGCGGCTATAAAAATGTCGTAAAATTCTTCGACTTCGGAGCTGGGAAAAATACAGATATTAGCTAATGCAATCGTATGATAACCTTCCAATAGTTTTGGTTTGCATTTCACGGTTCAACAGCTGATGCACTGCGAGCTGTGGCGAAAAACGCTTTTTAATGGCATGCACCATGAACAGTTAGTGTAAATGATATCGTCATCACATTGCTTCCTCTATGCAAATTGGCGGTCAACACAGTCGAGTTCCATGGTCGTGATGCTAGGTTTCCTGTAGCACAATGATGCCAACGCGAGAATATTCACAACATTCTATCACACTTTTACGGTCTTCTAATTTCTAAGTAGCGATCGAAGAGTAACTTGCCACTCTGCAAGGTGTTTTTCTGTAGAATTCTTTTGCATATTTTACAGACTGTTGCTCTTTGTGTACTTGGTGAAGGTTACTTGCAGGTTACTTCGCCCCTGTTGAAAGCTTGTGCAGCAAACATAATTAGAAGACGGTCGATGAAATGTGACCGGCATCATAGCCAAATTTTATCGAAAATTACGTCGAATTCTATGCCGTTGTTTACTTAATTCCTGAATGGAATTACGCTTACACTTGCGTGATCCCATGTTTGTGCTTACGACAAAGCTGATGTCGTTCGTTTTGATGTGCACATATTCTTTGGGTGCTGCGATGAGTGAGCGATAATGGTATTGGTATGAAACGTTAACATGTAGAATTTATCTTCGCTCGCTGTGAATAGAACGTCGACTTTGTGAGGCCCAAAACATCACACATCAGCCTTGTGAAAAACCAGACACAGGACCACATGGTTTATACAGTGATGCAAAACGGCTCCAGCTGATTCTTTGGTATCACCTACCTTGACTCTATCGAAAACAACCTGCATTGTTTGGCTGTTTGAGTTGAAGTAACGAAAGTGGAGCACTGAACTTGCAATTCCCAGTTTAATCTGTGGAACGTAATCAATGATTTCCCCCTTTTAGGCCAATGATTACTAGTCTTACAGTATGCGGTCATATAACGACCAACAGTTTGGTGCTAGAAGCAAACTAGAGCTTACCCT